GTTTCATTGGTTTTGTTTTTAAGGAAAAGGGTCTCTCTAAGTTCCCCTGGAATCCAAGACCCTCCTGCTTCAGCTTCCAAGTACAAGGGTTAGAGACACCTTCACACTGGCACTGTGGCTGGTGTTTTATGTATGTATGATCTTATGCAGGAGGCAAAGATCTCTGTCTACGTGAGACCAAATATTCAGATTTCTTATCAGGTATCCTGCCTGGCAGCACTCAGTGAGTCTACATTCCAGCCCTAGCTAATGCCTATCCAGATGTCCCTTAGGCACTGTAGCTTTGAAATGCTTTCTGGTTTTCTGAAGGAAAATGGAACCATTATGCATTCAGATCCACACATGCAGTTTACAGAACCTTGGCACGGGGTGGGCGTGGGGAGCATGCTCTATCTCATTCAGGCAGTGGGAAGCCAGTGTTTCCTCCTGTGGTGGTTCTAGAGTTTTCATCAATTACCACAAACTTGATGGCTTACAACAGCAAAAATATACTCTCTCATGGATGACTGAAGTCCAAAATCAAGGTGTCAGTAGGGCCACACACCTTTTCTTTCCCATTGCTAAGCTTCTAGATGTTTCCTGGCTGTAGCTGGGTACGGTCACATGACCTCTCCTCTGCCTTTCCCTTATAAGCACACCTGCTGGATTTAAGACCCACCTGGATAATCAAAGATGATCTCATCCCTAGATCTTTTAATATTTTGTGACCCCTTTTCCAAATAAGGCCACATTCACAGGTTCTGGGAATTAGGACCTGGACCTACTTTTTGGCAGGCCACCACTCTACCCTCTGTCCTTTACATGTTCCCCATTTCTGACTAGCCACCTGGACCCAGATTTTTAGGATTTTGAGTGGCTATAGTGAGACCAAGTGAGCATGCATGTCACTCCCTGCTGCCAGAAGCCATAAGGAACAGACCCAGAGCTGTGTGTCTGTGCAAGTGCTGACCCACCCCCAAGATGAAAACCCCTGTTTCCTCCATCCTTGCCCTCAGTTGGCTGATGTTCTCCTGAGCAGTCATCCTGGGTGTGCCTTGCTGAAGGACACAGAGCAAGGGAGAATACTGCATTTATCCATGAAGACTGAGAAATGAGGTCATGTCTCTTCCACTTACTAAACGGTGACCCAGGCATCAGTTTCTTTGAAATAATAGTGACACTGTTGCAAAGTCTAGTCATCCCCAGGTTTAGCCTCTCTGCTAATCCCACCAGGATCACATTAGCACTGGGGAGCCCTGCCACAAATCTGCCCTTGGTGAAATGGCTCTGTATAATGAGCTCCAAATCATTTTCGCACAGGTTCTGTTTCTTTAATTCAGAAAATATTTGTTGAGTGTCCGTTAGTAAAGGCAAAAGAGGAACAAAATCAAACCTGTTTCTGAGCTGGGCACAGTATGGCTTACACCTATAATCTTAATTCAGGAGGCTAAAGCCAGGAGGATTGCCTCAATTTTGAGGCCAGCCTGAGCTGTGTAAGTTTTAGATCAGTTGTTCAGCCTTGTCCAAAAACAAAAAAACCAAAAGACACAATCAGTGTCTAGTCTGGGAGCTAACCGTTACTAAGGGAGACATTATTAGTATGCTGAGCTGTATACTAAGAGAAACACAGACTAACCAAATAACCACTCAGTGAGTACAAAATTACAAACTGAGGTGACTGAGAAAGGAAGTGGTACAGGTTGGCTAGGCTGATGTGGCCATTCAGCGTGATAAGACCAGGCACAAGGTAGGCTCCTGTACCAAAGGCTACCTTCTCCACAGGTCTGCAGGGCACTGCCTTTGGATGGACCTCTTCCACTGGTCTGCAGGGCACTAACCTTAAATGGACATCTTTCACAGACACTGTGTTCATGGCTTTCTGCTTCTGTGATATTCACTATGTACCGTAGGTTTACTCTTAATAGAACTTGGAAATGCATTTTAAGTTGGAAAGTAACAAAGTTGGCTATTTAGTTGTGTGCAGTGTTAATAATTCATATTGAATGTATTAACAGTAAATATACATTTCATATTTATTTAGTATTACCCTTTCCTTCCTGTTTTTTGTTTCTTTGGTTTTTTTGTTTGCTTGTTTTTTAGACAAGCCTTGCCATGTAGCCCATGCCAATCTTGAACTTGCAGACCTCCTAGGCACTGGGGTTCACAGGCACGTACCACCACACTGGCTGTAGTACTCTCCAGTAATAAGTCCTTTTGTGCTTTTAAGAATGTTTTTCTGAGAAAAAAAAAAGAAGAAGAAAAAGAAATGAAAAAGAATGTTTTTCTGGCTGAATGTGAGTAGCTGAGTTCTTATCTGTCTTTGACTCCCATCTTCTGTCCTGATGGCAATGGGCTTTACTCTCTGCAGTGGGTCCCACCTCTCCAGCTAGCTTAGGAGGTCTATAAACCCGCATGCCTCTGCAACAGGAGATGAATGTGAAAGTTATAAACAAAGTGTTCAACTTGAAGTGACCCATTAAGAATGTGGAAGGAGAGCGAGACGTGAACTCCGTCCTGATCCCTGGTCTGTTTTAGCACTGCCCTGTTCCACCCTTTGTCTCTAATCACTCTCTGGTTTTGTTTTAATGTTACACAGATACCTTGTGGCTCTTTCCACAAAGTCCCAGAGCAGTCATAATAAAGTCAAATGTTGTGAAATCCAGTTTTCACAAATGTAGAGGTTTGGTTTTCAGCATGGGCTGATCTCAGTTTACTCTTATGGTATATGGAGTTTCTGAATTTATAACTTGAGAGTGGAGATGACTTTGGTTTGGGTGAACTGTTCAGAGTCTATGTCTGGCGGCTTATAGAATAGCCCTGCAGCAGGCAGAGCTTTTAGACTCCTGCAGGTTCCTCCAAAGAGCCTCATTGTTGTATCTACAAATGGTGTTTCCTGGCACCCCAGGCCAGTGAGTGTGTAAGGTTCCTGGCACCATGAAACACAACAACAACAACAACAACAACAACAACAGCCACCACCTGGTGTTGTGTTGCTTGTCCTGCCTTTGCTGTCATCATCCCTCTCTACTAGGAATACACCACACAGCATAGTTCAAGCTTTGTTGTCTCAGTTAAATACAAAGTCCTGTGATTTTGATGGGTGTCTAAGACGTTTGGTTTCCTTTAGTAAATTTTCAGTTCGTGACCTTGCTCACTCCCCAATGCCTGTAAATTTTACAGCACATCAGATTTACCTTTTGGATACTATGAAACCCATAGCTCTTGAGAATTTAATAGAAAGCTTTTAAATTGAACTTCCTTTTTTACTTTACTTGAAAACACTACACCCTTTGGGCTTTCTTTATTAAAATGAGCTTTTTTCTTTCAGTCATTTTTGACAATCAAAATGGTTAGTAATTATTCCACACCATTCATTTCACTGTGGTTATGTTATTCTTGAGAGTAGTTCTGCTTTGCAGAGTCAAGTTAGATGTCATTTGTTTCATGACCCTAGGTTGTGGTTGATATTTTTTCTTTTAATTAGTGTATATTCATGGTACATCGTGGTAGGCTTCAGAAATACAATTTCTGTCAAATACATCATTACCTTTGACCAAATTTACTCACTTTCCCTCCCCTTCCTTCCCTTCATCATCCCTCCTCACCCTCCCATCACGCTCTCCTTCCTTCCCTTAGACTCTGTTCTGCTTTTACGTCGTTCTTCATGGATGGACACACAGATGTTTTGATATAGCCATAAAAATGTCTAGGACTCACAGTAAAGAAGGGTTGGGATATTTGTCTTTCTCTGTCTGTTTCTGTATTTAATTTAATATAGTAATTTCCAGTCCTAGTCATTCTCCTGCAAGTGGCATAATTTTGTTGTTTTTTATGGGTGCCTAATATTCCATTGTCTGTATACACCATATTTTCTGTATCCACTCATCTGCTGACTGACATGGAGGCCGATTCCATCATGCATCTGCTGTGGGTGGTGCTGCAGTAGGCATGGATACAGAGGCACTTCTGCGGTGTGCTGACCTGAAGTTGATCTGGTACATACCCAGAATGGTAGTCACATATTTTGTTCTTTGCCACCCTCTATACTTAGTTCCTTAGCAGCTAGAGCATTTTGCATTCCTATCAGCAATGTAAAAAATGGGCTAATAAACAGGTAGTCTCCAAAGAAGATTTACAAATGGCTGATAAACATCTAAAACAATGCCTAACACCCTTCACCATCAGAATAATACAAATTCAGAGCACTGAGCGTCCCCTCTCCAATTAGCACAGCTGTCACTAAGAACAACCAGAAGTACTGGGGACTGATCTTTCTGTAGAGAAATCTGTTTCAGGTTATTGCACTGATGCTTGATCTTGAGAGCCAGAAAAACAAAACAAAACAGAAACCGAAACACCTGTAAAATGTGCACTGACGTCTTCCTATGCCTGAGGGAAGAAAGGGACCTCACAAGAGTGTATTCCCTAACATTCCAGCTCATTCTAAAGAGATCCCGAGCTCTTGCCATCCATGTTGCATCAGTGAAGCAGGCAGGTCGCGAGGTGAGGTTACTCTGGAGAGCTCTGTGGCACAAATACATCTTCATGCAGGCACCACATCCAAACAGCTGTGATTGCAAACGGATGGGTTTTAGATGACTTTTGGCTCAGATTTGACATTTTGATCGGCCATCTTAAGAGAAACAGTCTTATATATTGCTTTTAAGTCTAATTTTTCCCCTTAACTTTCTTTGCCATTTAGTTCTAGAAGTTGAAGTGTCAAGTCCAAGGCATTAGAAAGAATATGGAGGATCTTTGTCGTAGGCTGACAAGGTTCAGGAAACAGTGACTCCACTCCTTGGAGCCGCAGGTCCTGCTTTGTGTTCAGTTTCTCTATGGGAAGATGGCAGCTGCTGTCTCTCATGCAGTTAGTAGTAGTTTGCAGCGACCATATCCAAGTCTGTGGTTAAGTCTATCATGAGATATTAGTGCTGTGTCTAAGAAAATCTGCATCTGTCAACAGTGTGGAGGTCATTTTACCCTGTCATTGAGAAATTCTCATCTTTGTTTACCTTTCTTAGATTTCCACTGTATCCAAAGGGAGGGGAGAAGCTGCAGTTTGATTATGGTGTCTACCTTCTGAACAAGAACATAGCACAGGTAAGTGACTCTTCTTGTTCCTCTTACTTGGTTGTTAACCTTCTTTCTCCATAATTAGTTACTGCAGCCAACCCTTTACTTTAGCCATTTATATGAGCAGTGCAGTTTGTTGGCCGTAGTCTTATTCTGTGACATTAAAATGAATTTGGAGAAGCAATGGGCATGCTTTAGAATCCATCTCTGCCTCTAGCCATCCTTTTCTGAGTTCTTCCTGGTAGGCTTGGGCTTGAGTGTGTGGTCTGAATAAATCTCTTGGCTCTGCAGCTTGATTGGTAATGGCTTTCTTCTCTTAGATCACTTCTGGGGACTCATTTTGCATTGTTTATGGAATAAAAGTTTAGTGCTTTTGGCAAGTCCATATTGGTCTCCTCACCTCATTATCCAGGACCCAGTGGGAAAGGCCAAGTGTTTGTTCCTTCTAGCCCATCTTGGATGCTTGTGGCTTTTCAGCATCCCATCAGTTAGCATCTCATATGGACAGTGTTTCCCATGGACCATAGGAAGAGGAGCAGACGCCTGAGTCTGTGCTTTCCTGAGAGCAGCCCATAGCATTTCTTTAGAGCAGTTGGCTCTGCTTCAAGAGTTGGACTGTCCATGGACTTTTTAGCTGCAGAGGAAGGCTTTGGTGTGTTCCTTTCCTTTGGAGATCCGTCCAACTCCAGTATCACCACGTGGTGGAGTAGCCACAATTTGCTGTTCCTTAAAGACATTGTCAGATGTGTCCTCCACCTTTTGATTTTATGGAAGTAATAGGTTTGTGGTACGTTGCTTTTACAAGCCTCAGTTGTCTTTTCTCCATATGAATCTAAAAGTCCATCAGACCTAGAATTATTCCTCCATATGGTTTTATCTTTGCTTTCTTCCCCTCAGACCTCAGTTGAATGTTGGTTTTTGTTTTTTGAAATGTGGTTTTTATGAAAGTGTTATCCTTTTCTGAAATTGGATCGTATTTCTAGTTTGTCATACTGCATTAACCACTTGTTTCCTAAGCGAAGCTACAGGTGCTCAGGATCACGGCAGTGCAGCTTCACCCCCATGCTAGGGCAACCATGCTAGGGCAGGCTCCCCCACACACACCCCTGACTCACCTTCCCGTGCTCAGGATCACGGCAGTGCAGCTTCACCTCCATGCTAGGGCAGGCTCCCACACACACGCCCCGACTCACCTTCCCTTGTGCCCTTCTTCCCACACTGATGCTATCCTTCCCTCCATCTTTGGCAGATAAGTATTTTTGTCAAAGAAGCAGGACTTTAATGGCAAGGCTGGCTCACACACCACTGTCACAGTGTGGTCATCCCTGGAAAAGACTGGTCTTTTACCGAAAAAAACTCAAACTAAGACCACGCTAAGAAAGACGAAGTAACTTAGTAAATAAGTGAATTTGGCAGCATGTCCAGGAACCCTGCTGAGACAGAGACAGCACAGCTTGACTAGGAGTGAAAATGGCTTTGTTTAGAACTACTTTCTAGTCTAAGTTCGGAGGTTCTTCTCTCCTGCCCCCATTGGCTGTATCTTGTTCTGTGCATATTGGCACTGGATTTGGAAGCTTCCAGGGGCAACCTGCCCTGCTGCAGTACCCGGGTCTCCTTATTAATGTATACCAGCTGCAAACTCAAGAAGGCATGCACATAAACAGACATGGAAAGGTGGTATGAAGAGATGCTGCTGAGAGCAGACCAGCTGCAAGGCCAAGCGGAGGCTGTCTGTAGTGGGAAACGCGGGTCAGTGCTCGGCATCGGCTCCCAGATGGAGCATGTTGGAACACTTCTCAATAGCCTCTGGCTTAACCAACCGAAGGCCACAATGTGCTCAACTGATGTTCTCATATAATGTTCTCAACTAATATTCGTCATAGGAAGTAACCTGCTTGTAGTAATTGTATGTGCTCAACTGTGCGTTCTTTGCAAGGGAGGGCAATCGCTTTTTTACTCTGTCCATAGGAAACAACTAACTAGCTCTCTGGTGTCGTTTTCTGTTTCTTCAAAACACTTCCATAGATTTGAAAGCTTGTTCAGGAAGCTACTTTTGAGCTCATAAAAGAAACTTGTAGCAAATCTGGGACCCCAAGAAGCTCTGGAAAAGTTTCTTTGTGTTTTGACCTTACTAGCACAGTTCTTCCATGTTCCTATTTGTCAGAGAGTTATTAATAACTATCATTCATAAGCCAGCCTTACATCAACAAGATGTGTGCAGCTTTGGAAGGATTATCTGCATATACTAATGCATGCTGTCAAAGAGGAATTTGTCTTCTCAGTGAGTCTCGTTTATAACCCATCTCTAGAGATGTGAATAAGGCATGCCATTACTGCAGCCCCGCCTCCGTGATTTACAAGCCATATTAGTAGAGGTAGATGAAAGCACTGGCATGTGTTAAAGTGCCAGAGAAAAGGGAGTGAAGTCATTTAGTACGCGTCCATAACTTGGTTGAGGATTTGAATAGTCAATAGAACCTTTCATCACAACCAGAAGTAGTAGTAAAATCACTTTTCTGGTGGAGGAAATGACAGAACTTACGAATATTTGTTTCTTCAGGGTTTGGGATCAATCCAGCCTGTGCTTTTGAAAGCACAGGCTTAGGAAGACAGGCCTTCAAACAGAACTCCTAAAGTATCGTGAGAAGAGCAGGGAGCTAGCCAACGCATTTGCCCTCTGAATGCCAGTCATCGCCTGTCTTCATTGTGCCCACATACTTCCGTTTCTCTTCTATTTCTCTACCACTTACTTGCTCCTCTTAGAGGTGCCTTGGGTCTCTGTGTGTCTGAGGTCATCTCAGGAGTGCTATACCCCATTCATGTATTATGGTGCTGCGCAGGGGTCATCTTGGGCATGTTCTGCCCCTACCAGCCCCGTTTGATACCCAACTGGTGGTCGTCTCGGGCTAGCTCCCTGTCCAGGCCCCATGTGGTAGTCATCTTAGGTTCACTATTCTCCCAGCCTCCCACAGTGGACCCATGAGAAGAGTTGCCTCTTTAGCTCACTCCCTCATGGAGCCCTCAGTCCCAGGCAGTGTTCTTCTGGTGTCCAGCTTTCTCCCAGTCCTGGGAACCTCTATAGCCTCAGACTACCAAACTGGTGGCTAATTCCCTGTTTAAGCCCCCTAACACTGGACTCGTAGTCATCAGCCCAGACTCGCTTTTTTCAGGAAATGTTAGGCTACTCAGATGTTCACAGGTCAAAACACTGAGTGTAGGCATAGCCTCTCTCCTCTCTGCCACCTACTGGCGCACATGACCCAGCAGCCACACCTAGAATGCTTTAGCAGCAGGGTCATTTTTTTTTTTTTTTTAATGCTTATTTTAAGTGTCAGTATCAACTTTTATTTATACTGACAAGTAATGGATTTCTGTTTCTTTAAAATTTATTTTTATGTGTATGTACGAGTATACCATGTGTACTCAGATTTGGACAAGCATCGAGCTTCAGACCCCCTGGAGCTGGAGTTACAGGCTGTTGTGAACTGCCAATATGGGTGCTGGGAACTGAACACAGGACCTCTATAAGAGCATCAAATGCTGTTAACCACTGAGCCAAAGCTCTAGCACCTCTTTAATTTTTTTAATGAATTAATAATTAAAGTCCATTTTAATTCTCATTTCCAATATGGCAAATATTAACATATACATGATCCATATAAATTGGGAGTCCTAACTGATTTTAAGAGTATAAAGAACCTTTGAGACCAAAATATTTGAATTACTGTCCTAGACAATGTAGCTACCCAGACTTCCTACAAAAGCTCATACTCTATTTAAGCAAGATATATGTGTCAGCCCCCAGATGTCAAACTTTGTATGAGACCAGACCTACCAGTGTGAGCTCCAGTAATGCAGCCAGCGCAGGGCAAAGAGTCAGCAGCTCTCTGTGAACTTGCCACCATCTCTTTGGCTTCTCATAACCCAGACCCTCTTCTCACCTCTCCAGAAGCTGAGGGGCTGAGGACATAATGCTCTGTGGATACACTTTACAAATAGCAATGATGCCCCACATTCAGTTGGCTGTAAGGACTTTGGCGTGATTTCAGCCCTATATCCCATTTCATGCCTGTGTGCTTTCCAGACCTGGCATTAAAGATACAGAACTGCCTGTGTGCTAATTTCTGTAGCTTCCCACTCCTGTCACATTGACAGAAAGAATCCAGATTAAGTATTCGCACTAGCTTGTGAATATCATTCCTTCTTTTTTTTTTTTTTTTAATGTAGGCCATTCTGTGAATTCCACATAGACTTTATTCTGTGCCAGAGCTTAAGTAAAACAACAATCAGAAGCCGAGGGCCAGTACTCACTCCGGCAGCACATGTTCTAAAGCTCGGGGTTTCCTTCTACGCTCTCCCTGCATATTGGTTTAAGGCTTCACAGAAAGTGAAAGTACCTTCTCCTTTTAAACAAGTTATGACCTATGAGGACATGCGCAGGATCCAGTCGTTCTCTAACTCTTTGTTCCTGCTGCCCAAAGTTCATGGCTGTTTAGAGAAATCAGTGCCCACCCATCAGCTGCTTAAACCCACGCATGCTTCCCCAACATACAGTTCAATATATATGACATGGAGAGAATGTGCATTTTGTTTTGTAATTCTTAGGAGTATACATTCCAAAGACTGTTTTTTCTTCACGAGTACTGGGGATTGAACGCAGGGCCTCACGCATGCTTGCTGAGCACACCCCACCATGAGCTGCCACCCCAGAGCTTCAAGGATATTTTCATAGTCAAAATGTTCCCCCATGCTGCCAACAAAAATTTGGCAATAATGTAGTGAAAGTTCATATTTAAAATTCTTAAAAAGATTTTACTAAGATGTAATTGACATGCCTTATAATTCACCCACTTAAAGTATATATGCAGTAGCTTTGTGTGAGGATGTAGCTACCCATTTCTATGCATGTGGAGGCCAGAAGTCAGTGCTGGGTGTTCCCCATTGCTTTCCCCCTGGGTTTTTGAGACAAAGTCTCTCACTGGTCCTGGAACAGCTCACTGTTTCTGTAGACTGGCTGGTCAACAAGC